TGGTATCTGTCAAATTCTAGTAGGCAGTTTCAGTGGACGCAATCACTGAGAGAAAGGTGCCCATCATCTGCTGTATGAAATTCTGAAAAACAGGGTCGCACTATATCTGGAGTTTATTGGTCGCGATATAACATGAACACGAATAGCACATTCAAGTAACCCCTTGTTGAAAAATGAGACATTTATGCGAGTGAGAGTTTTTTAATACAAAGAAAGGGTATGGCATATTAGTATTGAACAACTTCTGAGATTTCTATGTTGCAATTTTAAATTATAAATCGTGAGCAAGAATAAGAATGCTCAACCTACAAGCAAGTACAAATATATAGAATCTCTCGGAAAATTATAAGCTGTACTCGACAAGGAAATGCAAGACTAGTAGCGATTAAAAGTAGGTCAAGATATTCCATGTCTTTTGTGAGAAGGGTGTTTAATTCATTACTAAAATTTCAGATCATAGAAATCGGCGATGCCTTCGTTTTGGTCCAGAGCGAACATGTAGTCACTATACAAGATACCCCCAGGAATCTCAAACAAACTGTCAGTTTGGTTTTCAAAGGCACCCACGCCTGTATCAAAACACCCGAGCATGCCAACTCCGGGTTTGACTGCGGGTGCCCGTAGAGATTGTTTTGCATTTGGCACGTGATTTTGATACGATGGACTGGCATCAGGTGCTGGTGAGTAAGTCTTGACCTCGGGCTGTAATGTATGTAGTGTACCGGTGATTTGTGTATTGTGTTGAGTTGTAAGTAATGGATGTTGCTGTCCAGTCGTACTTTGTGGCGCGGCCGGATACCAGCCATCACTGGGCGTGTCTTCACTACTATGTGCTCGGTGTATTTTCGATTGAGTGAATGAATTCGGATGGTAACGCGCTGCAAGCGGTATGTGAGAGTGCCGTTGGGTACCGCTTGATCTGGCTGCCTGTTCTAGAGTAGAGGCAGCTTCATTCGCTTCGCTATCATGAACATTTCCTTTGAAGCCCGTGTGAAATATATTTTGTTGACTTTCCGCACGCGGACGCTCCTGTGATATAATAATGCAGGATATAGGAGAGCACTTAACTGCGATTTTCCCAATGTTAAACATCACTTCCACATGTCCTGACATGGTCGGAACAAGTTGGACATTGAGATATTAGATGAAACAAAAATGCTTAATAATTTCGATGTTATAAAGAATTACAAGACAATAATGGTCATACCTCGATTGTAATGGAGTTCGATGACAACGTATTCAAAGTATTCCCAGCTTCTTGAGAGGCTGCGGCGTAATACAGTCCAGACAGGGCGGGAGACGGTGCAGTTTGGTGGTGTACCGAATCAGCTGGCAGTCTGCCAGTGCACTCCCCTGCCTTGGCCTGGTCGAGTTTTATATTTGATAAATTTGCGGGGATTATTGAGTGTGCATTCTGAGCCTCAACTTTCACACGCTTATATGTTTGTGTCGCCTGGGTGTCTTCGGTAGTCAGGTTGTGGGAATTATCCAGGTATTCCGGTATTGTAGCGGTAGGGGTTGCCGAGGTAGGGGTTGCCGATGTGTGTGAACGTTGATGCGCATAAACCCGTTTCAGAGAATCTTCGCAATTGCCTGTGCTATCATAATGTTGTGTCTGGTTGTATAATGTTTCCTCATGCTGTGTCTTTTCAGATGGCGCTGGTGTGTCGTTCGTGCATCGGTCAGCCATTTGATTATATTCGGTATTTAATCTATTGTCATCAACAGTTGAGCGGGACGCTGGTGTTGATTGTATATCCTCGTAGTGCTCATCGTACGGTTGACTATGTTCCTCTTCCCCGTTCAGATGTTCTGAAGCTTGGATTCGAAATGTAATTGAGAAATGATGAGATGAGTCAAAATAAATCGATATTAAATTAACAGAATGTCTATAGCATCGATGCGCATTGTTCGTGACACGCGGTGCTCTCCTGTAGATGTATTGGTACGACGGCTTTACAGAAGGTGCATATTGTGGATTTGACAGTCCCAACAAATCACCAATACGGGCCTACCTTCCTCCTGGATTCGTTTTTCCTCGACTTCCGAGTAGTATTGCTCCAGATCAATACCTATATCCTTTTCAGCGTCCCCTATATACACCGGAATTCGTTGACCGAACTCGTTGCGCAGATAGAGGGATCGCGACTGGTCTGCATAGCTCTATATGTCAGGATACAGAAAGTACGTATGAAAGACCAGGGAAATTAGTAAGCGCTTCGTTATAGGTTCATTAATGAGACGGGCCACAGCCGGTAATATTTTGAAATTATCAGACAATGGGCACCAAGCTTGACATACCTCGGGGTGAGGTATTTCGAGAGTCATGTTCTCTGGAGCCTTAATTGCGAAGTAAATGTCATCGTCTGCATTGAAGCCCATGCCCTCTCTAATGTCGCGGTAGGACAAATACCGGAGATCTTCCGCTCCAGCTTCATTTGCGAGTGCAGTCATGTATGTGTGCAACACGCCTGTGTGGTGATTGAGTTCTTTCTCAATTAATTCCAGCTCCGAATTTTCTGATCGAATGTTGTTGCATGCGATATTCGCCTCTTTCATGCTCTCGGCATTCCCCAATCTATAGGGACGGAAGAATTTTGTAAACTTTGGATATCCGATTACATGCATCATGTCATATTAATTAATTCATTTCCAACGATATTATTACTTGCGATTTGATACTATGTATCCTTTTGAATTTCAAACGATATGCTGCAGTCGTCAGCTAGGGAACTTAAGGTAAGCTACGCCGATGTCAGCTTATAACAAGACATTGCTAAATTGCAATATTACATGCGCTGAAATGTGCTAAGGAAAGTGAGACGTATTTGACACAATCGCTTGACGTCGCGTAGTACGACATACCTCCATCTTAATTTGTTCTTTGTGACTTTCTCAATCAGGTCGATGCCTTCTAAGACATTTGTGATGTCATAGATACGACGCTTCTTCACGCAGAGTATTTTTACGGCTTCGTTTAAATCCACGATACAGTTTGGTTCCTTCTTTATGAGCGCAACAAACTGTACGAAAATATATCAGAACCGGAAGATGATATTAAATACTGATAGCACCATCATTCACGCTGTTGGCAGTTGGCACAAACATATTAGCTCAATCTAAGTGCAGAGGGAGACCACGATTCGAGGCCAAATTAAGAGGCAATGAAGCTTACAAATAAGCGCATACTATTATACAAAGTACATGGTAAATAGCAACGCCTGTGCTCTGATACACTAGATAGCAAGTTTTGAGGGATAATACACGACTTAAAAAAGCCGGTCACCTGCGCATGGCACGGCAATATAACACACATCGAACGCTCAACGAACGCTGTTTACAAATATACTGGACATGATAGCCACCGTGTATAGACCGTTGATACAAGTAAAAACTTACCTGCCGCGTGACCCCCCCAAGAGCCACTTGGGACTTGCCCCCACTGGCTGTGACAGGCGTAGGGCACTGATAGCTGCTGACAGAATCGGCGCGCTTGCGAGACACAGGCGTTGACTCGGGTATCGGCAGAGCAACGCCATGGCTATTCTCAATGGCAGTGTCCAGAGCTGTCAGAGGTGATGAGGTTCAACATTACACAATGCACAGCGGAAGAGTAGGATTTGGCATATTCATGCCTGATTTCAGAGAACGTTGGTGTTGAAAGCGCTAATGTTGTGAGGGATGAATTGACAGAGGCGACGTGCGTGTGTAAACAGCGGTGACAACTCCTGATACGTGTATATGCAAACTGCAAAGCTGGATGTCCATGCAATAATTCACAGAAACATATAAGGCGCATCGCGATGCGACTGTGACTCATTCTATTTTTGTGGACACACCGTTCTCGGGGTACGGCAGCTCCATTTGCGGCAGTTCCTTGGACTCGACTATCGCGTGTGGTTGAGTTGGAGGCCCTGTTTCAACCGCCTTCATAGTGGATGCCTCCTACGCGAGGTTGTAATTCATTTGAGATCATCTACCCAAGCTGACACGCCAACTGCGACAGCTCTTGCTCGTAATTGCAGATATTTACTGGTATCAGATAGTACAGAATACGCGCGTATGGCGATAGAGAATCCATTGGCAGAGGAGTGACAAAGAAAGCGCCTCATCGAAAGATGTTCACGTGCTGGCAATACAAGTGTGTAGGCTAGGCTAACTTACCGTGCTTGTAGTGAGCATTGTTCTATGTCTTTTCAGTTGATATTTCCTCTAACTACAGCTCCTTCGGACACTTCATAGGAAAACCGAGTGACAAAAGCAGGAAGTATGAATAGGCATGCAGTCAGAGGCTCCAGAAAGACAAATAATGCATACAACTTAGCGAATTGGAGCGTACTGACAATAAATTTGAAAAATATGAGTAAGATCTCTAAAGCAAATGGGATCGATCCAGCAGTCACCGTGCAATGGTTGCTACACGAAAGTGCGTATCTTTGCGTGATAACCATATATTTTGCTTAGAAAGTACTTCCGCTCCCGATGATGTGGATACATATTACATACAACTATAGTTTAGATGGCATAGTTGGAATGTATATCACGTTTGGCGCTACCCACGAAACCACGAAAGTCACTATAATGACATACTTCCGTGCATATACAATACAGACACAAACATCGAAATCGCTAGCAGGAGAACTCTCAGTGTTTGCAACAGCCCCGGGCGCCATTGCAACGCCTATATTAGGATACTAGAAGAATACAAACACAGGCATACCAAAATTTTCACATATTACCTTATGAAGCACACGAAACAAATAATTTTAAGGGTAACACAAGCATGTACTATTTGAACAGGAATACAGACTCACCAGACACGCCCTCAACATGGGAGATCCTTTGATGAGCTCAAATTTCGGTAGTCAGATCGAATACAACTGCCCTCGCTAGAAGCAGCGGTATGCAGTCGATTATATCACCCTCATACGAGGAGTATGAATCGAGCAGAGCGGTGTTTTGTTTTAAGCTAGACGCCCTTATTTACAAATTTACGAATGTTGGGCACACGAGAGAACGAGTTTCCTACTATATTATATCGCTTAGACTATACTTTACTAAAGTTCAGTGTGTTATCTGGTCAAGTGATAGATAGCTTGACATATTCTACATTAGCATGTATTCTCCTTCCTTCATTGCCACATACATAAATACATATAGTTTATATATTTAAAAAATTGAATAACAGCCCCCTTGTAGTCCATCCGTATATAAAAGAGTCATAAAAAGTATTTTAGTGTTTATATTTCTAATTATAAAATGAACAGTATTCATATTTACCAGAAAATGGCGGGCTAATTGCCTGTGCATTAATATACTGATTACTCTCTCTCGCTGAGCCTGAGAGTCTCTTGTCCATTCCAATTGTTGAAGTATATTTACATCTGTTGCGACATCATCTTCATATATTTACATATTTAAACACTTCTAAGAGAGATAAAACGATACCATTCATACGCTCTAACCCTATAGAGTTTTTGAGTCTATATACATATATATGTCTGCAAGTCTTTAAAAGTACAACCAAACAACAAAGCTTCACAACCCGACATACGCGGGTAAGTTCAATATATATACTACAATCTAAATAGATCAACAAATTCTGAGGTTAGGTAAAATGCCCACTGACGTATGCGTGCGGCGCACAAGCAGTCGGACTGCTACGCCTAGAATTTCATCTACTCAACCGGAAAAGGAGAATACATCAACCACTACGGCACGTAGAAATAAGAGAAAACAAACTCTCCCCGTGCCTGACGATTCCTCCACGCCTAGAAAACGTTCAGCACAGTTTACTCTAATGGCTAATTCTCATGCACAATCGCAAGTCGCGAACAGGAATTTAATAGAGGACCGAAGCACGAAACGTGCAAAGCAGCTCACGGATGAGTCGGTACTTGTGGTCACTGGTTCGAGCCTTCCGATGAGAACGCTGCCAGCACCGGAGTTAAAAATAAACTCTGGTTGCGCCTGTGTAGTGAAGACACCGGAACAAGTTGCTGTTGCTTCTGTGGAGAGTGTGAAGGCGGGAGCGAACAAAAGGGGCGAGACAGAAACTGATGATGCGAAACAACTTGAACTTTCCATACCAGAGAATACGAGGAGTAGCGCCGTGGTTAGATCTGACAGGTGAGTTTATAGGTAGTGTATATATATATATATATATATATATATGTGTGTGTGTGTGTGTGTGTGTGTGTGTGTGTGTGTGTGTGTGTGTGTGTGTGT